GATTGGTGCCACGGTCAATACAAGTTGTTGATAAGAATAACCTGCTTCATGATATGGATCTGTCTGAAATTGAAAGGAAATAAAGTTTGAAAGTTGTAAAGGTGAGCTAACCCAGAAAAAACATTTTATATAATTGACGTACAGAGTGTTAAGAAAATAAAACAGCCATAAAACATGAGTTATGCCATTTTTTTGCCAATAGTTAAAAAATGCATAGATACAAGTCATACAATGATGGATTAAACATTCGGCTTTATGTTTTATTTACCGACATAGACAAATGCTTTTGAGAGCTTACCTGAAGAGAAAAAAAAATCAGGGCCATCCTACATAGTATGGATAGGTTTTCCATATCTCAGGAGGCTTACCATTCGTAACATAACAAGAGTCATCACTGCTAAAGACGTACCTGGTTGAATCTTGCCAGAAGGTCATTGATGACCTGTGGAAACCCACAAGGACACCAGGAATCTGTCCAGGGGATGAACTGGCTTTTAAGCTATTGGTGGAAAAAGAAATAAGAGAACATGTAAGTGTATTTACAATGCTACTTAGGGACTAGAGAGGGAGACCTTGAGACTTGGTGAAGTGCTTGGTTAGTCATTTACAATAGCAAACGTAACAAATAACTTTGTTGTTTTTAGCTCAAGAATTCAGTTGACAAAGAGCCTGTGGTAAAAGTTAAAGTATCTGGAGACGGAGTGAGAATGTCCCATAAAAGCTTCCTATTTGTGTGTTCATTTTCACTTCTTGGTGAAGGTCAGTGTGTGCTGTTAAGTTCAGGTAACTTCTTGCTTTTAGGTGTAGTATTTATTAATATCATTATTTTGACTCAATGGTAACTGCGCAAACTTGTATTTCATTATGTCGCATTCGTTTAGTTTTGTTCCTTGTGTCATTATTCACAGGAAACCATACCTTTTCACTAATTAAAGGATATGAAGACTATGAGACCCTTAACACGGGGTTTAAAAATGTCTGATATGCCATAAGTAAGCTTGTGGAGCAGGGATACATGGAGATTGATGGAAATAAAGTTCACCTACATTTCCATCTGGGAGGTGACTACAAGGTTAGTGAAATCCATGTGCTTTATGGTTTTTGATTTAAGATAGAAAATATTATGGCTTAAAAAGTGACTGTTAAAATGTTTTTCTTCTCTTTTTACAATAATTCCTGTTAGTTGCAATGGGCATGAAAGGGGCAACATCAAACAACTCTTTCATCTAATGTTTAATCCACAAAAAATTAAAGACAGGCAAGTACCACTATTAACTTTTAAAACATTTTTGCAATAGTTAATCAACATGTTACAATGTTTCATGAATATAACTATATTAAAAAATGAACACTGTGCAACTATGCCTGTAGGTGCAACATGTCTGTCTTCTGTGACACTTACAATTCCCAAAGGACGAAGAGAAAGTTCGGGCCCAATTGGACAAGAGATCCTGGATGCTAATCTCTGCCATTGTTCGATATCCCTCCAGAAAACATAGTCATCAATGAGCTTCACCTAATGCTACGAATAACCGATAGACTTGAGCGGGGACTGATTTTAGAAGTACTCGACTGGGATAAGGTTTGTGATTTTCTTTGTAAAAACAATACTAATTACTATCTTCAAATAACCTCAAAATGGCAGTATTCAGCTTACTTTTGTAAATGTTCTTATTTTGTGTTAGACTGAAAACAAGACAAACCTGTTAATCAGAGAAAAATAGGAACACCTCGATAAACTTCTGGCGACAGTAAGATCAATAGGAATCCCCTTAAATGTGTGGAAAAATACAGAAAAAAATTGAGTGGACTTCTCTTCTTGGAGCTGCGAAGCGTTCTCTGCTCAAGAACCAGTGAACTGCTCAGTCTGTAGTTATCTCGCTCTTTTTGTTTCACTATTTGTCAGTCGTCTCTTGAAAAAGAGTCGTTGGACTGTACATGGGTAGATGCAGTCGTTTGGTTTAAAGTTATAATCATTTTAGAATAAAGTAGATGTTTTAAGCATAATTTTATTGACATACCATACGATGGGAAAGCGCACAGAATCGTGTCACTGGCCGAACGCACTAGCACTGGCTGGTTGGCTGTTGAATAACAGAAAAATGTTTGTTTCTTTCTTTAATGTTTACAGTTCTTATATCAAATAATAACCAGCCTCTAATTATTATCCTAAATAATGGGCAAAGACGAAGACTAAGACGAAATCACAGTTTTGCTTATTTATTATTAAAAATACCATATTTCCTGTTGATGTGCCTCTATTTAGAAGAAGACGTCTAAATTGCAAGAAAATAAGTGACATACTTGAAATACATATTTTTGGATCAAAACAGATCAGTGGTCATTGTCTTACTCAACTATTCGTTGCGTCTATAAAGGCTTTTAAAACAATCCACTTTACTTAGATTAATGAAGTCTTTGTCCCTCCCCCAAGGCACGAACTCAAAATACTTCTACCCATTATCATTCTTGCACATAACCCTAGTAATCGCAGATTTCTACTAACATGACATGCTTTCATGTCTCTATTTTCCATCTGGAACGGTTTAAAAAAGAAACAATTGTCATGGCCATACATCCCTGTGTTGGTTAAAGTTTGGTATCACTGTCAGAGCTAAACCGCAAGATTGATTTTCGATAAACTTGCAT